CTTATCGCACAAATAAACTGACGAACAAGAGAACAAAGCAACCCAGTGGAGAAGGCCACCCAGAACCTCAGCAAGCAGACGAAGGACCCTCAATCTTCTTCTGCCCCACAGCGACCCTGCTGGTTTGCAGCTGCACTTTTTAAACACTTACAAATTTTAATTCAGCTTGTTTTTTCTTGGTATCTTATACACATTTCCTTCATCCCTATTTAGTTACAGTTAAATGATAATCTTTAAGATCTACATAAATGTATAATCATTGAATAAGTCTCATACTTTCAGACCCTCCAACAGTCACAAAGGACAGGCCTGCCCCTCTGATCTGACTTCATTGTCACCCCAGGGGAGTGCAGGGGCTAAGGAAGGAGGTGAAGCTGACACTTGAGCCCCAGGAAACCCAGGGCAGGAGATGCAGTCCGGAGTCTGCAGCCTTGGGCCCCATGTCCTTCCCGGGCCAGGAAGGAGGGAGATGCTCCCAAGAGCACTAAGGACGCGAGCACCTCCCCTGCCCGGGCTCCCAGGACATTCAGAGGGTGAGGAGCGCTCGGGTCCCCTCATCGCATCCCTAAATCCCAGAACAGCAGAGGCTGGCGTGCTGGGGCAGCTGGGCACGCGGACTGCCTCCTGCCACCCCGAGGCGTGCCCACCTCCAGAGGAGGAGCACTGAGGCCCAAGGCTGGGGAGGACTGCCCGGCCTCTCTGCCCCCCGCAGCGCCAGGCCAGCACTGGGACCTCAGAGCCCTTCTCTGCCTGCCCCACGTGGGGGGCAAAACCCGGCAGCTCTTCAGGGCTCTTATCTCCTTCTTCCCCCACTTCCCCTCCTTTTCCACTCCGAACAGTTGATCGGTTACAGACAGACAGATGGATCGATGGATCGATGGAGCGATGGGTAGGTAAATAGATTAACAGGAGCTTCCCCGGTGGCTCGGTGGTGGAGGATCCACCTGCCAATGCAGGAGACTCAGGATGGATCCCTGATGCGGGAAGACCCCACACGCCACAAAGCAACCAAGCCCGTGCACCACAGCTACCGAGTCCACGTGTCACAACTGCTGAGGCCCGCGTGCCCTCGAGCCCGCGCTCCGCACCGACAGAGACGCCGCTGCGTGAGAAGCAGCACAGCCAGGCTCAGCATCCAGAGCAGCGCCCGCTCGCCGCAGCCGGAGAAGAGCCTGAGCCGCGGCGAAGCCCCAGCACAGCCCAACGCGGACAAACCAGCTGTCACAGAGACGGATGGACGGCGAGGTGGTGGCCAGATGAAGGGACGGACAGGCAGATGACAGACAGAGCTACCGATACAGATGACGTGGTCAGAGGGTGTGGGGCAGCGTCCCCGTCGGTAAGATGCAAGGAGCACTGCGTGCAGCCTGGTATTCCGCTCAGAAGCACAGCCCAACCCAGGAGGGAGCCTCAGTGAGACGAGATCGAGGAGCGGCCTACAAAATGACTGGTTCTGAAAGTACAGCATCTTCAGGCGCGCGAAGCGAGGGGCCAAGGACAGACGGGGCCCCCTCTCCAGGCCGGGAGACCACCACACGGCAGGACAGGTAAGTGCCTCAGTCTGAGCCCGAGTCCATTAAGGGGGATAAGACCCGCACTGGGTCTGGAAATTAGATGATGACTATGAGCCAGTGACAGTTTCCTGATTTTAAGGACTGAATTTGGTTGCTTAGGGTGACAGCTCTATGCAGGAAGCACACACTAAGACGTCTGGGGCGATAACTATTGCGCTGAGACATGCCTGGGGGAAAAAGCAAGTTGTGACCTCTCTGACCCATACAATAAACAAAAAGCCATTTTAGGTGGACTGCAGATCTAAATAAGAAAGGCAAAATATTAAAGCTTCCAGAAGCGGCTTTACATAACATCTTCAAGGTTAAATAATGTCTTTGACTTTCTTGAAGCAAAAAAATTTTTTAAATGACCCAAACAGGATCATGATAAGTAGGACTACATAAAAATTAAGAGTTTCGGTTCCTCAAAAGACACCATTAAGTTCATCACAGATGGGGAGATGACAGATAACCAAAAAAGGCTCATGGCCAGTCTTTCTCTCTAAATCTCTCTTTGGAATAAAATATAAAGAGGAATCATACATTTTTTTTTGTTTGTTTACAAAGAAAGTAGCATTAGGAATCATCAATAAACTCATTTTATAGTTTAGAAAATTGAAGGCAAAAGAGCTTGGACTTGAGGTCTCCTTAGTCTCAGCCTAACGCTTTTCTCAGTATTAGATAAGATAAATGTAGATAACCAAGGGAAAAAACAAAAGAAACATAATCTGAAAAATTCAATGATACAAACACTCAAGAACCTAGGACTCAATAAGAATTTCTTCACTCAGATAAAAGGCATCTAAGGAAAACCTACAGCCAACATTCTACCCAAGAGTTCAAGACTGAATGTCCCTCCCACTCCAAGAGCAGGAATAAGACAAGTGTGCCTGTTCTCACCACTTCTATTCAACCTGTGCTAGAAGTTCCAGGAAGAGTGATAAGGCAAGAAAAACAAATTAAAACCATCTAACTAGGAAAGCAAGAAGTGTGTCCAGATGACACAATTTTGTAAATTTTTAAAAATGCAAAGGAATCCACTAAAAATCCATTAAACTAGTAAAAAAAACTCAAAAAGCTTGCTTGGATCAGTGTACAAAAATTAATTGCTTATTTATATACACTAGCAATGAACATTCTGAAAATGAAATTAGAAGACATTTCCATTTATAATAATTTGAAAAGGAATAAAATTTGTAGAAATATATTTAACAAAAGAAGTGGAGGATTTGAACACTGAAAACTACAGGACACTATTCATTAAAGGCCTAAACAAGTGGAAAAATCACCCACATTTATGGTTCAGAAGACCCACCCTTAAGGCAGCAACACTTCTTCAATCAATCCACAGATTCCAAGCAGTCACCCTCAAAATCCCAGCTGCCTTCTTTGCAGAAATTGACAAGCTATGCTGAAAACTCATGTGGAAGTACAACAAACCCTGAAAAGCCAAAACAGTCTTGAACAAGAACAGAAATGCATGGCTCATACTTCCTGACCAGAAAACTTACTACAAAGCTACAATAATCAACACAATGCAGAACTGGCTTAAGGACAGACAGATACACTAGTGAGACAGAATTGAGAATCCAGGAATTGATTTTTCTCAATCAACTGATTTTCAACAAATGTCCCAGGGCAATTTAATGGGCAAAAAATTGTCTTTCTAACAATGGTGCTGGGAACACTGAATATTCACATGTTTAAATATGAAGTTGGACCCCTACCTCATAACATGCACAAAAATTAACTAAAACCGGACCAAAGACTTCAACATAAACACCAAAACTATTTTCAAAATCTTAGAAAAAAAGCTGAGATATAATCTTTGACCTTGGATTAGACAATGGTTTCATAGAAACGACACTGAAAGAACAGGCGACTAATGAACAAAAAGATAATTTGGACTTGGTCAAAGTTTAAACTTTTTGCTGCAAAGTACAGTATCAAGGGGGTGAAAGGATACCCCACAGAGTGAATGAAATGCTTGCAGATCATGTCCCTGAAATGGAAGTGTTTCTAGAATACACACAGAATATTTATATTTCAAAAAGAAGACAACCTAGTTTTTTAAAAAATGGGCAAAGGATCTGAACAGACATTTTGCTAAAGACACACAGCCGATAAGCATGTAAAAAGATACTAGCATCACTTGCCACAAGGAAAACGGAAATCAAAGTCACGACGAGAGACCACTTCATTCATCCTGGAACAGTTAACACCGAGAAGACTCATGTTGGTGAGGGTGTGGAGCGCTTGGAACCCTCAGACTATGCGTATGGGAACGGGAAGTGGTGGGAAGCAGCCATTCCTCAGAATCCTAGGCACAGAAGTTACTAAGGACCCACCAAGTCCACTCTTAGGTAAGCACTCAAGAGAAATGAAAACATATCCACACGCACAAGAAAAAACTTGCACATGAATGTCCATAGCAGCACTAATCATAATAGTTATCCACGAAGTGGAAAACAGCCTGATAAGGAATAAACAGATAAATAGAAGCGGGTCCTGCCATACAGTGGAACATTATTTACCAATAAAAAGAAATGAAGTAATACTTGCTACAACCTGGATGAACCTTGAAAGTATGCTCAGTAACAGAAGTCAGTCCTGAAAGACCGTCTCTTGTTTAATTCTATTTGTATAAAATGTCCCAAATAGGTAGCTTCATGTTGGGCGTGCCTCAGGAGGACTGGACCACTAGCTAGGCAGGGCTTCTTTGGGGGACGGAGGTAAAGACCTTATCAAGGTGATTGTGGTGATAGACAGTTCTTGGTGAGTATACTAAGGGACCATTGAACTGTACATTGTAAAAAGGGGAATTAGGTGGTCTGTGAATTATATCTCAGATAGTTGCATAACTTGGTGAATATGCCAAGGGACCATTGAACTGTATATTCTAAAAAGGAGAGTTATATCTGAATAAAGCTTTCATTTCAAAAAAATTTTTTAAAGGACAAGCTAAGGTTTCTAGGAAAAGGGGAGGGTTTTTTTGTGTGTTTTTTTTCCCAAAGCTCTAATAAGTTTATAATGGTAACAATCCTACAAGCGACACATACAGCAATTTGTTTTTTAAAAAACTTGCTTTTAACCTGAACAAAACCTCCCACCGCCTTCGGTCTACTTTCACACCTTCCCGCCGCCCGCGCGGCGGCTCTTCCCCGGGAAGCCCCCTCGGGGGTCACCGTGCGCCCTCCGGAGCGCCGGGAGCGCGCGGCCCGGGTGCCTAGGGCGCGGGGCCCCGCCGACGGGGCGGGCCCGGGGGCGGCCGCTGTGACCCCGGGGCGGGCGCAGACGCCGCCTCCGCGGCCACCGATAGGTCCCAGCCCGCCTCGGCGGCCCGCGGGCCAGGGGCGGGGAGCGGCGGCGGCGCGGAGGCCGCGCGCACGGTTGGGCGCTCCGGAGGCCGGGAGCGAGGCCGGGGCGGCTCGCGGGGCCGAGCGCGGGATGTGGGCGCCGAGCGGCCCGCCGGGGCCCGCGGGCTGGGACCGCCGCCGGGTGGGCGCCAGGCTGCGCGCGGCGCTCGCGGGGCTGCACGAGCTGCGGGGGCTGCGCGCCAGGCAGCAGGCGCGCGTTTGGGGCGCGCTGGCCGGGCCGCCCCCGCCCGGGCCCGCCGCCCCCCGCGGCCCCCGCGCCCACGAGCTGCGGCTGGAGGCGGCGCTGGCGGCGCTGCAGGAGCAGCTGGTAAGGAGCGCGCGGGGGGCGCGGGGGCGGCGGGCGGGAGGCGACCGATCGAGGGGCACCCTCGGCGGCCTCGGAGGACGCGTCTCGGTCCCAGCGCAGACGGACGCAGAGGCTCCACGGATCCTGAGATCTGTGGCGGGTCAGGGCTGGTCCTGAGAGCTGCCCGGCCCGCCCGCACCCTGGGGCTGCGCCCGGCTCTGCGTGTCGCCCCGCGCACACAGACTTTGAGGATGCATTCCTGTGTGTTGGAGTTTCCCTGTTGCGTTGATAAGAACGCATCAAATCGGTTTGCCCTGAGGGGGATCCTTGGGATGCCTATTTCGGGCTCCATCGTCTCCCTGCGGAGTGGGTCGGGGGACGGCGTGCCACGCACCACCCCCCCCAGGCTGGCCCGCGCCCAGGCTGAGCTCTGGGGTCGTGTCATTGTAACTAGATGTTGGGGGAAGCGTGGATCTGATAAGGCCTCTTCTCCCACTTTAAAAGGTAACCTGACCTACGAAAAGAGGTGTGTCCTCTGGACGGAGAGGCGGTGGAACCAAGCCTCCTGGGCCGCAACGGGCTCCTCCACACGCCGGGCCCTTCTGTGCCATTGAGGACACTCGGGTCACTGCCCCGATATAGATCTGCTGTGTGATTTCACTTCATGTATTGGCATCAGCTGAAGAGAGGTTTTGCAGGGTTGTGGTACTTTTTTAATGAAAAAATTAGAAGGCTTCCCTGGTGGCTCAGATGGTAAAGAATCTGCCAGCAATGCAGGATACCTGGGTTCGATCCCTCGGTCTGGAAGATCCCTTGGAGGAGGAAATGGCAACCCACTCCAGTATTCTTGCCTGGAGAATCCCATGGGAAGAGGACCCTGGCGGGCTTCAGTCTGTGGGGTCAGCAGTAGCCAGACGTGACTGAGTGGGCTACAGTCCATAGAGAGATGCCTATTTGAGAGCTGAGTCTATTGCCCCACGAGGAGAGTCTTTTGACTGGGAAGTTAACTCGGCCCTGTTTAAAGTTGCCGTCTGTACAAAGCAGGCTGGATGAAGCCGCCACATTGCTGTCAGCTTAGCGCAGTCCTGTCGTGTCAGTGATTTGTGAGCTGCTTCTGGGTTAGAGAATCCGGAAGCCCAGTGTCTTGCGATGCCTCCCAGGATGCCTGCTGTCTCCGCACATTGTCTCCTGATGGTGCAGCCTCTCCTGGGATTCCCCAGCTCCTCCCTGGAGGGAAGGAGCCAGTTACCAAGTGGGACTTTATAGGCTTTTCACCGCCCCCCTGACATCTAATCTAGTCAGAGCTGCAGGTGTGGCTGCCTTGTGTGTGTGTGTGTGTGTGCATGCGCACGCGTGTGTGTGCACCCAGACACAGCCTCCCTGGAGGAGGCACACAAAAGCCTGCAAAGGTGCCTGACATGCGTGTGACGGGAAGGAGCTCTGGGGTGCTGCTCTGCATTGTTCTCTCCGGGGAGCTGGAGCACAGTTGATGATTAACTGAGCTTAAGTCATATACAAATCAGACTTGTGGGTTCTCAGCCTCTAATTACAAGTAGCCTTTTGGGAGAGAAGATCAAACCGGTTTTTTGTTGTTTTTTTTTTTTTAATGTGGGGACCAGAAGGAACACGCACGCTTTGTCTTGAAACTTTGTTCTTGGCACAGACTGTGTGATCAGAAGAGAAGGACTGAGTACGTGTGACATCAGCCCAGAGATTAACAGGCTCACATCTTTCTTACAGGGAAAGTTTTAGGAGTGATCCCAGTTCTGTAGTGAAGGCTGCAATCACAGGGCCTTTGCCTCCATCTCCGTCTCACACTTGGGTAACTTGCAGCTCAGGCAGGGCCCCCTGCCACCCAGCCTGGGTTAACCTGAGCAGGGGGCGCCAATCAGGTGTGAAGACAGGAAGAACTTTTATGGGACCCGCAGCAGCTTTGTCCCCAGACGTCCCAAGTGCGAATGAGCTTGAGAACCTGGGGATTTACGCTGCCTTTAGGAGAGGTCCCCACATCAGCACTTACCACAAGTAGCTGCGCCTTGTTAATTGCCGCGTCTGAAGTCACAGCAGGAAGCACGAAGTAGGTGTTTAGTGAGTCTTTGCTGGATAAATAAATGAACTCCCGTTATTGCTGATAGCAGAGGGGAAGAAGGTTTCATGTTTACCGTCTCTGTGTCCTAGACTTCTGAGCTCATGAAAGCCCCGTGACCTCCGACCCTGCCTCTATGGCTGGCGCTGCGGTCACCTGTCCATCTTCCAGGGATAGTCCTTCCCCGAGACGCGATTGCCCTTCCCGTCTCTGTCAGGGTCAGCTTCCCAGTGGCCCTGATGGGAAGCCTTGGACACCCTGGAGAGCCCGGAAGCTTTATGTCCCGCCAGGAGCCACCAGCGTGAGAGGGGCCCGGGGGGACGAGAGGGCAGGCTCTGGGCACCTGCCAGGACCCTGCGGGGAGTTTCCCGCTGGTCACGCTGCCCAACTCGAGCAGGAGCGGCTCCCCCTCCCTGGTAGGCGCTGGCCTTCAGCAGGAGCTGGGGGTCTGACTGCCGTCGGAGCCCCAGCGTCTGCAGCTGTCCTTGGGCCTCTTTCTGGGGACACAGACTGACGCAGGGTCCCAGGGAGGTGCAGGGGCGTCCACGGCCGGGCTGGGCCCCCTTATGCAGCGCCCGCACCCGTGGTCCCCGAGGCTCCCCTGGGCCCGCCTCCCAAGGGCCTCTCCTCCAGCCAGTTGGGGCTCTCGAGGTCCCGCCCGGCTGATCCCCAAGCTGCTTCCCGTGTGCCCGGGTTTCGGGGAGAGGGCGGAGGTGTTCTAGATGCCGTCTCTGTGCCCCGAATGTGGGGTGTTTCTCCCCCTCACCTTCCGAATCTGCTTCAGAGCTTTGAGAGGGCTGGAAAGCCAGGTTGCAGATGGGAGCAAAAGGGCAAAGCAAGAGGAAATCAGCTCCGCCTCTGCAGCCTGTGAAGTCAGCAGTTAGAAGATGGGGCTAAGCCAGACGTCTGGTTGTAACGGCGTTCCCCGGGTAGAAGTTCTCAAGCGTTCGTGGTCACGGAACGTTGGTCCCTGGGGAGCTTGTCAAGGTGCAGGTTGCCAGGTGAGCCCTAGAGGCTCAGTTAACTGGTGTGGCAGGGAGCTCGGGGGTCTACACGGAGGCACGCGGGGCCTCCCCGCTCCCAGGAACCCCGCTGTCTCTCCTTCCAGGTTTGGGGGACTCAGACAGGACGTGCTGCCCCGACTGTGAGCCGGAAGGCCTGCGGTGCGCCGGGGGCGCGGGGCAGCGAGCCTCGCTGCTCTGGAGGGAGCCCGAGCGGCACTGCCGTCGCGTTTAGTCCGGCGGGGTCCTCCGGACACAGTCATTCCCTGGAAGGTACCGGGGCCTTTCGATGTTAAACAGAAACCGCCAGCTGCAGGCCAGGCCGGGCACACGGTAATCACAGAGCATTTATTACAGCACAAACAGGCCAGGGTCAGTTTTGGTAGGGGGACGGGTTGGAGAGGGAGGAAAAAGCCAGAGGGGGCCTCTTTCGGGAGGAAGGGGCTCGTGGCTGGGGAGGGAGGAGGTCTCATCGATGCATTCAAACCCTGAAGCATGGTTGAGCAGGCAGCTGAGGTTTCCGCCTGCCCCAGGGTCCAGGGAGGAGAAAGTCTCCTGCAGTAAAAACTCCCTTTGTTTGAATCTAAGTGTTTCTCCTTGGCAGGAGCCCCTCTTGGAGCCCCGCCCCCAGCTCTCTGTCAGGGCCGTCCCCTGGGGAGGGTTTCCTGCTGCGAGAATGTTCAGGGGTGAAGCCAGGGGGCCCAGGGAGTCTCGGTGGTTCTGAGTGTGTAAGATGTGAATAAACTCGGGACTGCCTTTCACAGTGTTACGTTTACAGATACTGTTCCACGAGGCTGGAGGCTGTCTTGCTGCGAAATGGGGGGGTTGTTCTGAGACCCCTGCATCGGGTCCTGAGAAGGTGAATGTGGACCGGATGGTCCACCCACCGGCGCCAGGCTCTCGGCCCCTAACCCAGAGCAGTGTGCCGATGGCGTCGTCCCGTGAGAATCAGAAGTTGCTGCCACCTGCCCCTCTGGGACTGACTTCTCTATTATTGAAATTGCTGAAGTAATACCTCATTTCCTATATAATAAGTAGAAATACAATTAATCACCTTTTTAAACAGGAAGACTCATATAATTGCACTCACTAATTATTGGCCTTGAACTTCATTGCTAATCAAAACAAGATTAGGCAGTGAGCCTCGACAACAGGGTGCAGTTTTATCACTAAAGGAAGGACATCAGTGTTTGTGAAACACGAGTGCTATTTCCCGTGCATGTGTGTGTACGCGTGTGGGCGTGTATTGTGAGCATCAATTGCATACATGTGTGTATATTACATGATACTCACACGCGTGTAGTTAACACACACAGTAACCCATCTCACAGCCAGGGAAGCCGAGGCCTGGAGCAGGACAGAGCTGGGAGGTGGGCCCTGAGACCAGAAGGTGCTGGGCAGCGCAGGCTGCGTACGCCCTGGCGCCGGGCACCCCTCCTGCAGGCCCCTCCCCGCTCCCCGGAGCCCTGCAGGACCGTTCTCAGCGCCTCCTGTGCGGGCCGTGTGTGTGTGTGTGTGTGTGTGTGTGTGTGTGTGTGTGTGTGTGTGTGAGAGAGAGAGTCACTCATCTCATGGTCCACGCGTGAGTTGGAAAAGAATTCCCAGACATGAGGCAGAATGAGAGGAGCATGGAGCTATTAGAGTGGGAGACGCTGTTAGAACAGCGGGCCTGCTCAAGGGAGAGCTGATCTCGACCAGGGGTCCTTGGTGCACCTTTATGCCCAGGGTGCCAGGCCCGGGACGGGGCCTTGCGTGTTGTGTGCTGATGGGATGAGGCAGGTACACTGGGTGGGGAGAGGAAGGCAAATGCCTTCTCCCTGAGGGGTGGGAGGGGAGACAGGTTATCCTGCTCAGGAGGACCTGAGGTTCGTTAATGGTCACGACACAGGGAGGGGAAGAATATAAGGGTCTGGTTTGTTCTCTGCCTCAATTCCAAGACCCTGCTTGTTCACTTGTTCTTTCGTCCTTGGGACACCACAGCTCCATCGTGTCCAAGTCTTTGTGGCCCCAGGGACTGTAGCCCGCCGGGCTCGTCTGTCCACGGGATTCTCCAGGCAAGAATACTGGAGTGGGATGCCATTTCCTCCTCCAGGGGATCTTCCTGACCCAGGGATCGAAACCGGGTCTCCTGCATTGCAGGCGACTCTTTACTAGCTGAGCTACCAGGGAGATACATCTGCGCCATGCAGGCTAAGGCTGTGCAGAAGGAGGGGCCCTTTTTCTCTCCTGGGGACTGTCCTGTCCCCTGAAGGGCTGAAAGCCCAGCCCCCCGGTGCCACAGGTGGGCGGCCGTGAAGGGACGTGGTGACACAGGCGCCAGACGTGGGGTCCACGAGGCGCGGGCCCGGGACAGTGGGCTCTTGCAGAGATGGAAAGACCTTGACAACACCCTCGGTGGCTCCTGCTGGAGGCGGGGGCCTCGGGCTGGTTTAGATCCCAGTCCCACTCTCATAGGCTGTGTTACCCTGTCTCCTTATAAAGGAAGATGTCTAAGTGACCATCGCCGATTCCAGCGTCTGTACCTGGGAAGACAAGCTGGCAGCGGTGGCTGGGAGTCCGCGTGCGGGGTGGGATGCGGGGCTGCAGGCCGGGGTTCGTGGAGGGTTGGGGAGGTTGCCTCGAGTGAGGCGGCTTCACGGAGCTCCCTGGCCTCCTGGTCTGGACTCGGAACGGCCCCGTGCCCTGCTCTGTCCCTTCCTAGGACCGCTTGAGACGCCAGGACGTCGGCCTGCAGACGCACCTGGATCAGCTGGACCGGCAGATCAGCGCGCTGCAGCTGGACGTGCGCAGGGGCCCTGGCGAGGCCGCGGACAGCGACAGCAGGCCCAGCTCGGGTACGGCCGGCCTTCAAGCCCACCACTGCTCGGGCCCCGGGGTCAGCAGCCAACACTGCGCCCGACAGCACGCGTCACAGAAGGAGCTGAATATTTTCAAATGCTTGTATTTAAGTGCGATTGGGAAGAAAGGGGGGCTTCCCAAGGGGTGCTGGTGGTAAAGAACCCGCCTGCCAATGCAGGAGACACAAGAGACGCGGGTTCAATCCCTGGGCCGGGAAGATCCCCTGGAGAAGGGCGTGGCAACCCCCTCCAGTATTCTCGCCTGGAGAATCCCATGGACAGAGGAGCCTGGTGGGCTACAGTCCCTGGGGTCACAGAGTCAGACAAAACTTAGCAACTTAGCACGCACGGAAAAAAGAAGAGAGAGTGCTGTATGCACTGTTTAGTTGGGAAAATACTGCTCTGGGGGGAAGAAACCGCATGAGTTTCTCTCCTCTCTCTGGGCTGAGGCATATTCTGGGCTGTGTTCGGGTGGAGCGGACGTGGAGGCTGTAAATAACAGCTTTTGTGTGACAATAGGAGTTTTGAGTCCATAGGTTTATTCAGCCTGAAGGCAGTACTGCGTCCTCCCCGCTGCCTGGGTGCCCTGCGTCAAGGTCGTTCAAGGTCGCACGTTGATGGTTAGCATCGTTCTGGCCGACACGGCCCTGGGCACCTGGGCTTCCTCTCCAGGTTCCGGGCTCAGACAGCAAACCCGGGAGACCGGCGTCTCCCCGGGTACAGTGCTCTCTGGCGCGTCTGTTTTTCTGTTTGAAAGATCCTTCCGTGGTCCGGGTTGTCACGCATGTAGCAGGGCCGGGCGGGGGCCTCCCCGAACGCTGCCCCTTTTCTGGTTGATGCCTCAGATGAGGCTTGAGGGGCTCAAGGAGGGAGGGGAGAGGAGGGTTCCACTCCCGGGCCGGACGCCAGTGGCCACGTGGGGGACTGAGCCGCTTGCCCCGGAGAGGGGTGAGCAGGTGGGGGGCGGGGCTTGGGCGGGGGCGAGGGCCCGCTGACCCCGGGGGCACAGGAGGCAGCGGGGTTCCTGGGCATCCCTGCCCCCCCCCAGCCCCAGGGCCCCCTCGCGCGGGCTCCCTGGGCCGCTGAGTGCCTCTGTCCCCCGCCAGGCTTCTACGAGCTGAGCGACGGCGGCTCCTGCTCCCTGTCCACCTCCTGCACGTCCGTGTGCAGCGACCACGTGTCCTGCTCCCTGGGCACCTTGCTGCCCGCCGCCCCCAAGGCCAGGCCTGGCTCGGGAGACTGCCGGCCCCGCTCGGCGGATGAGACCGCCGTGTGTGGGGTCCCCCTGCCTGCATGGGGGCCCCCGGCCGGCGAGGAGGGGCCAGGCCAGCTACTGCAGGAGGAGCCCCGGCCGCGGCCGGTGTCCACAGGTGAGGACAGCCAGGCAGTGGGGGACCCCCGGGCCCTCGAGCTCCCCCCGGGGAGGTGGGGACAGCCCCGAGCTGCCGAGCACAGAACAGGGAGCCCCGGGCATGTGGGGGAGGTTCCACCCCAACGTCTGCAGACGTCTCAGGGCTGGTCTGTCCCGTGACCTTGTCCCAGTCGCCCGCATGGGCGACCCCCCTTCTTGCTGCGTGCTCTGCACCTTTGCCGCACGAGGAAGGAAACTGAGCGTCAGGGTCTCAGCCTCGCCCCCGCCCTCGGCTGTGGCTGGAGCGGCCCGGGTGGTGGGCGTGAGGAGGCTGCCCGCGTGTCCAGGCTCCGCGTGTGCGGGACCAGGGTCGTCCTGCCGCAGCCTGGTGGGGGCGCGTCCTGCCCCAGGGCGGCGCATGCGCAGACCCTGGGTCGTCCTGCTGAGGCCGGGCAGGCGGCGCTTCCTACCCAGGGCTGCGCGTGCGGCTTCCCTCGTTGACGCCTCCCCCTTTTTCTCCTTCCCAGGTGACCTTGAAAGGATCCTACCGGCCGACGTGGGGCTGCAGAAAGCCGGGGCACACCCCGCGGCCGCTCCCTTCCTCTGCCACGGTGTGGACCCCAAGTACCAGTGCGACCTGGTGTCCCGGGGCGGCCGGGAAGTGTACCCCTACCCCAGCCCGCTGCACGCCGTGGCCCTGCAGAGCCCGCTGTTCGCTCTGACTAGGGAGACGCCGCAGAGCGAGGGCCGTGTGCCCCCCCGCCCGCCCCCCGCCAGCCCCGCAGGCCCCAGCTCCGTCCGCTCCAGGCTGGCCTTCGAGGCTGGCCCCGCTGCAGCCTACATTGAGCGGCTGCTGCGGCTGCGGGCCCGAGGGAGTGAGCGGGGGCCCCCCATAGGGGAGGCATCCCCAGCCCCGCCGCAGCTCGGTGCCCGGAAGGTGGACGATGAAGATGGCCTGGAGAAGCCGGCCTGCACCCCCGGGAGGGTAGTGGTGAGTGGGGCCGCCAGCGGGGACAGCCTTGCCCGGCCGCCACCTGTGCCCTCTGTGGGCACCCCATTCCCCAGCAGCCATCCCAAGGGGAGACCTGGCCCCTCGTGTGGGCACATGCGCGGGGAGACCCGTCCAGACGCCCCCCAGCTGGCCTGTGGCCGGGCCCCCGCTCCCCGCTGCCCCGCTCAGCCGACGGCGCTTGCTGGCTGGACGGGCGGAGGCAGGTGGCCGAGCGGGCGAGTGGACGGATGCTGCGCCCACCCCCACCTGGTTGCCAGCGGAGCTTCCCCCACAGGACCCCCCAAGACCAGGCCTGTGACGGTCAGGAGGGGGCCCAGCGACAAGACGCAGGGGCCTGGGAGGCCGCAGCTGCAGTGGGGGGCCCTCGGGGTCCCCCGGCCGCCCCCAGAGTCAGGGGGTGCTCCCCGGAGGCCCACGCTGGCCGCAGAGGCCCCCGGCCGGTCCTGCTCCGAATCCAGCCTCTACCCCGTGTCCTTCTTTGTGCCCCTGCTGGTGGCGCGGCGGGAGGGTCACCGGGCGTCGGCTCAGGCCTTGTTCCCCTGGGAAGCCGCGCCGCTGGGGGCTTCCGGGGGTGCGGCGCGGAAGAGGCAGCGCCGGTGGCAGTCCTCGGTGGAGATCTCGGCCAGGGCACGCCCAGACCCCGGCCTGGGGCCCCGCAGGCCCGCAGCCCGGAGAGGGGGCATCCCGAGGCCCGTGTTTGCCAGGCCCAGGCCCCCGCCGCCCCCGCAGGACACCGGCGCCCGCAGCGCGTCGGAGGGCTCCGAAGGCTCGGCCGAGTGCGCCTCGCTGCTCCTCTCCACCGCAGCCGAAAGCAGCTGGGATGAGGCCAGCGACCACACCGCCAGCCGCTTCGGGGACGCCGAGTCCAGCGGCAGCGACTCGGGGGGCGGCGGGCGGCCGGGCCAGCGGGCCCGCGCCAGCTCCAAGCCGGCCCTGCCCCCGGTGCCCAGGCTGTGCCGCGTCAAGGCCTCCAAGGCCCTCAAGAGGAAGATCCGCAGGTTCCAGCCGGCCGCCCTGAAGGTCATGACCATGGTGTGAGGGGCGGCCCGCCGGCAGAGGGGCCTCTCGGCTTAGGACCCGCCCAGCCTCGCTCACTTGCGTTTGGGGTGCGGGCTGCCATCTGACAGCTCTGCTTGGTCCCCGAAGCCACCCTTTGACAGGGGTCCCCTCAGAGGAGCTGCCGGGGTGTCCCTGGGTGTGTCACCCCAGGTTAGGCTGTGACTCTGGGTGCGTCGCCCACGGGGCCCAGCGGAGACCGTCTCTAGGACCCCGGGATTGCAGGCCTAACGGCCGGCCTCCCAGGCCCTGTGCCCTGAGCCGGGGATGGGTGCCCTCGGGCTGGTGCACATTGGGCGGCGGGCGGTATCCCCGATGGCTGTGGCGCGGCTCTAGAAACTGGGCTGGGATATGAGTCCTTGTCAAACGCTCCAGGTGGATAAACACCTGAAATGCCGTTGTCTTCGCAAGTCAGTCTGTCCCTGTAGCCTCCCCGCCCCGGGGATGTAGCTGGTGGTCAGCAAACCCTCGTCCTTCCCACCGTGAGGACTCTCTCTCACCCCGGGGGGAGAACGCGCTTCATGTGAGTCCACGCCACACTCTTTCCAACACTCATGTGTTGAGCATAAAAGTGCTTTTGAAAAGAAACCCTTGTGTGTGGTGTTTATTTTTCAAAGGAAATGTCCCTCAGCTTTTCCAGAAGGTGGGATTTTCGGGGAATCTGCCTGCTGAGAGCATCTTCAGTTCATACAGCACTGTACACGGGATTTTTCCAAGTTGCTTCTGTGGCCTGGAGGCAGAGAGAAGACCTCAGGGGCAGGGGCAGGGGCATCCCCCTGCCCCCGGGGAAGCCTCAGGAGGTCTGGGCTCCTTCGGCCCCTCCTGAGGAAAGGGTCTTCCTAAGCTTTTTCTGAAACTGTATTGATACTTGAAGGAAGAAGCCAAACCTACTAGTGATGGGTTTTTTGGTAAAAGGTTGTACACAGGACAGGCGCTTCCATGGTAGCTCAGCTGGTAAAGAGTCCACCTGCAATGCAGGAGACCCGGGTTCAATCCCTGGGTCAGGAAGGTCCCCTGGAGAAGGGACAGGCTACCTACTCCAGTATTGATGGGCTTACCCGGTGACTCAGATGGTAAAGAGTCCGCCTGCAATGCGGGAGACCCAGGTTCGATCCCTGGGTTGGGAAGATCCCCCGTGGAGGAGGGCGTACTCTTGCCTGGAGAACCCCATGGACAGAGGAGCCTGGCGGGCTACAATCCATGGGGTCACAGAGGGTCAGACATGACCTAGCGACCACAGCACAGCTCACAGGGCGTTCTCTTTAATGGTCTAATTCTCACCCATGTGGCCCGAGAGGGTGGGGGGCCCAGGGCCTCTGGGGCCTCTGGGAAGGTGAGAGGCCTGTGAGAGGATCCAGGGGCTGCGAGGCCGGCCCTGCCCGGCCCTCACAGCCTGCGCCCCTCGCCGGCCACCCTGGAGAAACGGCCGTGACACCCCCTTCGCAGGGCGTGTCCTGCTGTTCGACGTCCTCTCTTGCATCAGGCAGAGCTTCTCCCAGTTCAGGGGCTGCAGCGCCGCATTTGCAAAGTGCAGACTTCCTTTGTCATCATCAGGGACTCTGTCCTTGCTTCACAGAGAGCCCTCGGGCTGTCTCTGGCTAAGGTCTTGCAAGGTCAGTGCAAAAGGGGTGCAGTGAGTGTCCTGACAATGTTTCTCTTTCTCGGAAGCCAGGCTGTGTTTCCTCATGATTCAGCCTCTGAAGTGAGCCAGACAGGAATGCGTCCCCACCCAGATGATGCTGGGCCTGTCTGTGCAACCAGCAATCCAACCATGCCAATAACCCAGCAGAGTAACCACGCCGACCAACCAACCGGCGATCTAACCATGCCAATAACCAAGCAAAATAACCATGCCAACCAGCAATCAACCGTGCCAATTAACCAGCAAAGTAACCATGCTGACCAACCAACTGGAGATCGAACCATGCCAGCAGCCTGTCCCTCTGGACAGCCCAGGAGGTACGGCCACAGAGAAGGCTACGGCCGGGTGAAGAGCAGATGGAGGGCCAGACAGACAGATGGCGGGGGTCTCTGACCCCCAGGAGCATCACGGGCACCACCAGGCAGGCTGGGCGAGCACCATTGGGAGGGCTCTTTGGGAAAATCCCTAAAAGCACAGAATTAAAGTTGAGAACATCAGTGACAAGAAGGCAGAGACCGTCCCCAACCCAGAGGTGCTATAAACTCAGAGAAGAAAGATACTCAAGGAAGGCAGAAGGTTGAGGGAAGAATGTGCAGAAACAAAGATTAACTGAGACATTCCATTTATTTGCCTGGATAGTTTATGTTTTTAGCATGTTTTTCCTCTGAAGAGATATGGTCGTAGCTGCTCAGGACAAGGGGAGGACAAAGCAGGCGGCTGCTCGGGGCAGCAGGTGGCCTGTGACGGGGAGGGCGGAGGGTTACTTGACGATGGGGTCCTTCCAGTGCATTTGAAGGTGGCTGAGCTACTTCCCCATCCCTGAAGTCAAAAAAAAAGAGAGAGAGAGAGAGTTGATTCTCTGACTTTTGAGATCATTAGGAAGCATTTGTCATTTCCAGCATGACTGAAATACAAGTATTATAGCAAGAAAGTGAATATATAAAGGATAAACTAGTTCTTTCTAAGTATCAAAGTCAAACTAAGATAGAAATTAGATAAGAATAGCTAATTCATAAAAATTAGAGAAGTAGTGTAACTGTATCAGAGAAGATACCCCAGCCATTTTATCAAATCGCCTTGTTTGATTTAAGGAAACAAGGTTTCTCCTGTTATCGCCTGAATGTGCTTGTTCCCGGATTCCTGTGCTGAAGCCCTGACTCCCGTGGGATGGCCTTAGAGGGGTCCTGCGTAAGGACCCCCAGGCGGGGCCCGCGGGAGGATTGGGAAGAGCTCATGCAGGTGGTGCCCCTACAGATCCAGAATAAACCGAGCCCACGAGCACCGCCATCCCGGAATTCCTGTAGCTTAAACCCCAAGAGGGGGTGGCTCAACACCCACAGCCCGTCAGCACACGCAGAGGGAAGGTGGGAAGAGCTGAGAAAGCAGGCATAGAGGGCTGCGGGGAGGGAGACTCGCAGCCTGCATCCTCCTCGTACAACCAGGGGCAGCTGGGCGACTACCCAGAGTCTGTCCTCAGCGCTCCCGCGCTCAGGCACCTTCACGGAGCCCTGCTGTTTGCAGGAACTGTACCAGCTGCTGGAGGGGTGTTGCACAGGCAATCAGGGTGCCTGTTCGGGGAAGTTTTGCCCACGTGGAGGAAATGTGCAGCCAGCGAGGATGGCCTGCAGCCGCCGCTGTTCAGTCCCTCAGCCATGCCCGACTCTGCGACCCCAGGGGCTGCGGCACACCAGCTTCCCTGTCCTGCACCCTCCCCCGAGCTTGTTCAAACTCATGTCCATCGAGTAGGTGAGGCCATCCAACCATCTCGTCCTCTGTCACCCCCCTCTCCTGCCCTCAGTCTTTGCCAGCATCAGGGTCTTTTCCAATGAGTCAATTCTTCGCATCAGGTGGCCAAAGGATTGGAGCTCCAGCTTCAGCATCAGTCCTTCCAATGAAATTCAGGGTTGATTTCCTTTAGGATGGACTGGTTGGCTCTCCTTGCAGCCCAAGGGAGTCTCAAGAGTCTTCTTAAGGACGACTTAGCAGTCCCTGAAGCGGTCAGTGGCAGGCACCGGGGCCCAGAGGAGCAGTGTTTGGACTGCACGTAGACGGCGCAGTTAGAGGTTTAGCTGGGAGGACTGGGAACTGCGCTGGGCTGAGGGGTGAGGAGGGAAGCGGGGAGACAGGGGCGGTGGGGAGGCAGCCCAGGGCCGAGCAGACGCGCAGAGCTGCGGCGCGAGGGAGGCTGAGTGGGTCCAGCGAGGAGCTCCCAGAGAGCCCGGATCTCGCCCTGGACGTGGGAGTCCTCGAGACATGGGAGTGAGAGCAGACCGCCCCCGGGGGGGTCTGTCCCCGCAGGGCTGCTGAGGCCAGGGGTCAGCGTCACCAGGAACCAGCACCTCCAGCGTCTGGCAGAGGCCGGGCAGACGGGGGAGCGGGAGCTTCCCACGGGAGGGGGGCAGCAGTGCTGGAGGCCGAGGGGGCGCTGAGGAGTCAGCAGACGTGGGGGGTCCCATAAGCCTGGGAGGGCGCACTCGGGGTCCTCTGGTTGGCCCTGTGCTGGGAGCAGGATAGGAAGTGGGCAGCTGTCAGCCGCAGGCCAGTCCTGCCAGGTCGGGCAGCCCATCACAGCCGCCTCCGGCAGCCCCGTCATGAACAGTCATCGCAGACCACGATCCGACGTCCTGCAGGCCTGCCTCGGGGTTCTTCCTGGATGTTTGCTGCAGATGATCAGGAGGGGTTCTTCCTGGCAGGTGGGCTCTGGCTGAGCCTCCAGCCCTGTGTTCGCAGGAGTTCTGGCCGCTGACTCGTGTGTGTTCGGGCTATCAGACGCCGGGAGAACTTGCTAGGCTTGTCTGGAGAGGCCTGTGACCACCTGTGCGGAGGTGGGTCTGAGACGTGACCGGAGGTCTGACCCTGGCCAGGGGCCCAGCCCGCGGGAGGCGGGAGGCGCTGAGGAGGGGCGTGCTCGAGGCCAGACACGCAGCTCACGGTCATTCTGTGGTTTGGGGGGCGCGGTCCCCTGCTGAAGACACCCCAAGCTATAGTGACTCAGAGTCCAAAGGAAACAGAAGCATTTTCCCAATGTCATTCACTTACCCCAGTAAGAAGTGAGAATTCTCAGTGAAACAAGAATATGTTCTTACCTCTAAGAAGAACATCCCTATAGAAACAAGAACTCCTGACCAATATTTTTATTACCATGTTTACATTTTATTTCCCTTTCATTATTTCATTCGCTTTTTTTTTCATTCCATTTTATTTCCCTTTTTATGTTTCTCTCAGCCATGGTCTCCTAACCAAGGGTAAAGCCCCCAGCAAACGAAGCAGCAAATCATTAACCCCGTGCACTTTGACTTCATTTTCCTTAATCGTCTTCCTCCAGCTCCGCGCCTCCGTCCCGTCGGACACCACTGGCCGGATGACGCGCACAGCCTGCAGTCTAGGTCCGCCCTCTGTGACGCTCGTCACTGCTGGGTGGCCGCTGTGGTGGGGACAGCCGTGGTGTCGGTCGCGCCGTCCCTGCGGCCTGCCCGCCGGCAGGCTTGCCTCCGCTGCCCATGCTGGTTCGCGTCCTTCTACCGAGAGGGAGGAGGAGCCGGGAGGCCGGCCCAGCAGGGCTTCTGGACAGGGAGGCAGCCTCTTCCTCTCCCATCCCCCCGACCGAGGAAAGTCCGTAGCTGTCTGCCACGGATAAAGTCGTTTCTAATCCCCAGGGACACTGAATAGCCTGCATCAGGGGGCTTGTTGAAGCACTAAGCGCTCAGCTGATGCCCAGAGGCCAAGCCAGGATTTCCGCCCCAGCTTGAGTAGGTCTGGTACCTACAGACACCCCGGGTGCTCCCACTGTGCTCACCTTGCAAACCACTTCTGACAGCGGCTCTCTGAGCCACATCTAGAGAACAGCTTGTCATCAGCTGAAAAGCGCTTGTTCCCTGCCATTTACTCAGCACCTGTACGGTCCTAACAGTCCTGAAGAGAACGCCTTCCCCTCCTTACAATGCCTGACGTTCATATGCCTTCGGACTGTCTCCCTGAGATCAAGCCTTGGAGCAGCTCAGCACCATGGCAGCTGCCTCCAGAGCAGGTTGGTGTTTGATGACCAGACGAGCTGCTGAGAAATCACCAAACACAGAGTCTCCCTTTGGGGCATCTACAAGGACCGCCTCAGAGCCCGCAGACAGCCACACGTCCTCGGGCTGACAGGTTCCAGACGCAGCTCCCTAAGGGTGCCGTGGAAACCTTTGTGCTTGGGATGACCAGCTGTCATGATTTGCTCAATTCTAAACCAACACTTGGTTCGCCCGACTCCGTCAAGTATCCCGAGACTCACTCCAAGTTATGACATTCAGTTCAGTTCAGTCGCTCGGTTGTGTCCGACTCTTTGCGACCCCAAGAATTGCAGCACGCCAGGCCTCCTTGACCATCACCAACTTCTGGAGTTTAGTCAAACCCATGTCCTTTGAGTCGGTGATGCCATCAAGGAGAGAGAATAATAGTTCCTGGAGTCGAATTTCATTTAAACTGTTTTCCCATTTATCTTGTTTGCCTTCAAATATCGTTTCATTTTCTCAAACTGTTGGAAGCAGTGGAACTGTTAGGATGCAGAGATGGGCGGGTCCACAGTCTGCTGTGTTTAAAACTGTTACACAGGAGTTCTTGTGAGTTCACCCAAAAAAGACCAGAGGCAGTCAGGAAAGGCTGCAGAAAATGCATAAAAAGTAACTTCTCTGCACGCTTACCTCCGTCATGAATCATGTGGAGGCTGTGGAAACCCAAATTGGCCCCTGGATTAGCTGGGAAAATGGATGTTATCAGAAGCCCATATAGGGTGAAGATTGTACTTTTACAAATAATTTAGGAAAAATAGTTTATCAGAGGATTATTAGGAGCCCGTAGCTGAGAGGAAGTCAACTCTCTGGGTTGAGAGAGGTATTAATTAACTCAGATTTACAGCATACTTGGCAATGACTGGGGTGTATTATTTGCTATTTATCTTTGACAAGTATCTACGGTTAATGATTAATGTTCACTTAGCACTTTTCACATGTCATCTCCCCAGAGTCTCCCTGTGTCTCTCAGGACAAAGGTGTGAGGCAGACAAGGTTGATTCTTACCCCAACACCACACGTGAAAGCTTGGGGACCTAAAGCACATGAACGGTGGATAGTCAGGTCACCCCGTCAGTTCGTGGGGGCGTCTTGCCCAAGGTCAGGCTGTGGCTCCCAGGAGAGGTCTTTACGCCCACCAGGCTTTCACTAACCATATAAAGAAAGTTAGTGCGCATTATTTTTTTCATTTTAAAGTAAGCCTTCCTAATATCTCACAGTTTTTGAGTGATTTTTGGTAAATACATTATTTTTAGGTAAAGGAAAAATTCTCTTCTGACTTGTATACACAAATTATACTGAAAATAGTGTGAAATTTGAATATTTTTGAGACAATCATGTTCTTTTCTCCTTTAATCTGTTAATAAAATGAATTGCATTAAGGAAATGTTAACTCAACTGTGTGTGGAATGAACAATATTGACTGTGAAGGTTTTGTTCACACTTGTAAATCATTGTATTGTGGAAAGTTTTAAACATACGCAGAAGTAGAAAGTAGGACTTTCAAAATGTCCACCACGTGATTTCAACAGAAGTCTTTTCATCTTGTTGTTTAGTCTCTCAGTCGTGTCCGACTCTTTGTGACCCCAGGGACGGTAGCCTGCCAGGCTCCTCTGTCCATGGGATTTCCCAGGCAAGAACCCTGGAGTGGGTTGCCATTTCCTGCTCCAGGGAATCTTCCCGACCCAGGGATCGAACCTGGGTCTCCTGCATTGTCAGGAGGATTCTTCACCATCTGAGCGACCAGGGAAGCCCCGTGTTCATCGTACCCCACCTTACTCCTTCCACTCACATTTTTGCCAAGTCCAAACATGAAATTCTTACTTGGGCTTTCTGAGTGCATTGCTGCGATCTGTCTGCTGACATTCTGCATCTTCTGCTCGTAAATGAGACTGGCCCATAAAATCCCTTCCTGTGTGCTGCCGGCCTAGTTACCACAGCAAAGCTCTCCCCGTCCCCGGGCTGCTCCCTGGAGGGCTCCATCTCTTGGATGTCAGAGAGCAGTCTTTGAAAACCAGGAGCCCCTTGTTCACGGATCATACAGGTGGACGCGCCGTGTTTAATCACCTGGGTGTGGTGGGGAGGGGGCGCTTTTCAGAGCTTATTCATTTTCTTTCAACTTGTCAGTCGTGTCGTTTTCTAATGCCTCTTGAGTCAGCTTGTAAACGTATGCTAGAAAATTTTCCATTTCATCCAAGTTTTTAAACTTAGTAACAGACTTGCTCATGGTTTTCCCTTAAGATTTAAACATGATGACTGTATACATGGGTCCACGTTTTTCATTTGCATTATTGCTTATTTCTATTTTCCCTGGTTTTTGTCCTTGTGTGGTTTTGCCAGAGGCCTAGCAATATTATTCAGTTTATCGAAAAGAAATTTTTTTGGTCTTTTGAAATTTTTTTTGTCTGGTGGACATTGCCAGAAGTGGTTCCATGGAACCCAGGTTTCCAAAGACCCCGTCTCATTTGTGCGGTGCTCTGGACATCGCTTCCTGTCCTGTTTCATTAACTTCTGCTCCCATTTCGCCACCCCCTCCTCTGTGTTTTTCTTGCGGTTGAGTCTGTGCCCAGCTAAGGGTCACCCTCACACTGCGTCAGCTAAATCCTGCAACTCTGAGAAGCCGTGTGTTCCTGGTGCCGGCGGGAAATGATTTAGTTTCCATTATTCCTTCTTCTCTGACCTGTGATTTACTCAGACGGCCTTTAAAAACTCACAAACAGAAGTGGTCTTGACGGTTGCCTGGGTGTTATCCATTTCTAATGTATTGTGAGGTCTGAGAACCAGCCTTGCCTTCGAGGACTCTGTTTTGTTGCTTTTGGTTCCCATTTGTTGCAACGTCTCTGTGGCCTCCTTGGCCAGTTTTCGGAGACCCTCCAGAATTGTCTGGGGCAGAGTTCACCTGCGTCTACTAGAAGGGAGTCCCTGAAGAAGGTGTGCTGACGCGTCCCCGTGACTGTGGGCTGGCGAGTCCCCCGTCTGCTGGGCACATTGGAGCTTGTCCTGCGAGGTCTCTGCCCCGGAGCGCTTTATCTTCCTGGTGAATGGTTCCTTTCATCACCACACTGGAGGCTGATGTCACTGATAATGCTTCTTTCTTGAAAATCTGTTCAGCCTGTCACCTGTCACAACCCCCTTTCTCTGGGCTTTGTACTTCCTGACAGATCTATTTACGTGTTTACTTTCAACCCTTATGTTTTACACAGGTTCCGTCCCTCATATTTTAATGGCTAATTAAGTCCATTGACGATTATTGAGTTTATTTGAATTTGTTTAGAATATTTTATGTTTTCTAATTGCAATATTTTTTTTCTTTGCTTTATGATGGTTTGATTATTATACTTTTTTTTCATTCTGTGAGTTGGAAAAGGTGTGTATATCAAAATATAACCTCTCCTATGTCTGTGTTAGCATCCACATTCTGACACGCGTGCATACTCAGCCGCTCAGTCGTGTCCGACTCTTGGCGACCCCATGGACTGTAGCCCACCAGGCTCCTCGGTCCGAGGGATTATCCAGGCAAGAATACTAGAGTGGGTTGTCATTTATATTCTGGTATACACTCTTGTTTAAGAAAGTTTAAATTTAACAACTATTTCTATCCTCTCATATGATGCAAACACCACAGACTGCTTTAAACCCACTCACTCCTCTTCAGATCCTCACTGCTCTCGTTCAGCACATTTCAGCTCCACCTCGTTTAAGTCTCCCCCGTCAGAAGGTGCCATTGCTTTTGTGTGGTTCAGCCTTATCTGGAATCACTGCATTTACAGCATATTTGACCAACGTTCTTCTTGCGCTCACTCTTTCCTTCCGGCTTCGTCTCTTCGTCCCAGTGAACACCTTTCAGAAGTCTTTTCCAGGGAGGGGTCACAGTCTCAATCTTGGTTTGGCTGAAATTATCTTCAGTTCACTCTCAGCCTTAAACGATGCCTCATCTGATGTAGACTTGCTGATGGGCCTTGACAGTCCCTTCCACGTTCACGCCATCACTTCACGGCCTCCTGTTCTCTAGAGTCACAGATTCTTCACTTTGAGATGGATGTGACTGCATCTTATAGTGAAGCATCTTGTAGTTATATAAAGTGATAATGCTCCTTCTAAATCAGGCTGCCTTAGAGTTCATGACATACAGCATCACTGATGGACAGTCTGTGGCTCATCTGTTTTTCTTGTCACTAGTGGGAAAGAATCCACCTGCCAATGCAGGAGATGCAAGAGACGTGGGTTCCATCCCTGGGTGGGGAAGATCCCCTGCAGTAGGAAATGGTGACCCACTCCAGTATTCTTGCCTGGAGAATCCCATGGACAGAGGAGCGTGGTGGGCTACAGTCCATGGGGTCACAAAGAGTCAGACATGACTGAGCGACGGAGCACCCAAGAAGGAAATACACTAGAGTAAGAGAAAAGCAGAAACCCTGAAGCAGATTATTGCCTCACCTATGCAAGCAACGCACCTGCCTACACACTGCCCTGTGGACCCGCCTAGGTATCTACCCATACATCCACCAGAGCGTGCATCCCTGCACCATCTGCTTTGGTTAGAAAGGGAAGCATGGTGACACTTGACTTGAGACCCTCCTTGAGGTCAGACAGCCCGAGCCCCTCGGTTCACAGCTCAGCATCAGGAGTTGCCCAGTCTGCTGCCCCATGCTGTTTCCAGGGAGGTGGTGTTTGGGGCAGCAAGGAAGGATGAGAACTGAACGTCTGGAGCGCTGATGGGAGCCCCAGCAGGCGGGTGGGTGACAGATGTGTGTGCATGGGTGAGTGTGTACAGGTGTGTGCACATGTGTGTGGGGGTGTGTGCACAGGTGAGTATGCATGCATGGGTATGTGTGCATGGGTGAATGCGTACAGGTGTGTGCTCACATGTGTATGTGTGGGTGTGTGCGCACAGGTGAGTGTGTGTGCACGGATGAGTGTGTACAGGTGTGTGCTCATGTTTGTGGGTGTGTGTGCACAGGTGAGTATGTGTGCATGGGTGTGTGTGTGCACGGGTGAGTGTACAGGTGTGTGCTCACATGTGTGTGGGTGTGTGTGCACAGGTGAGTGTGTGTGCATGGATGGGTGTGTACAGGTGTGTGCTCATGAGTGTGTGTGTGCACACAGGTGAGTGTACATTGGTGAGTGTGTACAGGTGTGTGCCCATGAGTGTGTGTGTGGGGGGTGGTGTGTGTGCAGACATCTTTCCGCCCTGCTGGGTGGAGGTCACAGCTGAGAAAGTGATTTCACAAGGCCCCTCCCTCAGTGACCCCTCCGGGCACCCCCCCACCCACACCAAGTCATCCCTTGGTGCCATTCGTGCTGAACCTCAGGGCCGGGTCGTGGGGTGCCGAGACCTCTGGCCGCATCCGTGCTCAGGCGGGGCGGCCTCCCTGGGCCTCAGGCTGTAGGCAAGGGTGTCCCTCTGCTGTCGGGGGCTGACATGGGGCCAGAGGGGAAGCAGCGGACATCTCCATCGTCAAGCACAGCCATCCTGTGCTCCACCCTGTGGAGGCAGGGTCACACTGGATGGGGGCAGGGGATGGACAGGGCACCTGGGTCCTGGTGGGGACTGCACGTGGCCCGGCCGGTGACGGCCCTGAGTCGCCCGCCCCAGCTGGTCCTCAACCCGCCCCAGGGACCACCCCACAGGCCGACCCACAGACCGCCCCACGGGTCGCCCCAGGGACCGACCCACGGAGCAACCCACGGACTGACCCACGGGCCGACCAATGGACCGCCCCAGGGACTGACCCACGGAGCAACCCACGGACCACCCCACGGGCCGCCCCACGGACCGCCCCACGTGCCGCCCCAGGGACCGACCCACGGAGCAACCCACGGACTGACCCACAGGCCGACCCACGGACTGCCCACGGACCGCCCCATGGGCCGCCCCAGGGACCGACCCACGGAACAACCCACGGACCGACCCACGGACTGCCCCATGGACCGCCCCACGGACCGCCCCAGGGACCGACCCACGGAACAACCCATGGACCGACCCACAGGCCGCCCCGCAGACCACCCCACGCAGCTGCAGAAGCGAGCTCTGCCTAGCTCGGTGCTTGATGCTGGCTGTGCCATCTGTGCGGTAGGACTGCCATTCCTCTAGGAAACTTCTTGTTTCCATGGTTCCTTCTTTTTAAATGTTAACACGTCAATGTGCTCTTCTCTCCCAAACATCCTGGAATACCAGAGTCGCCCTCGCCCAGAGGCCTTGCTTGTAGCTCCTGAAACAGGACCTAAGCACTTACTGCAAGACCGTGGGATTGAGAGTCAGGCTCGGTTAAGGAGGAAACATGACCTCTCACTTCCAGAATCTCGGGAGGAAGGGGCCAGAACGCAGGACACATGTGGGCCCACCCACTGGGGAGCGCGGGGGTCTAGCTGCTGAAAGAGCCTTTGAGTCTTTGCTGACCCCCTTGTATGGTTGAAAAGCAGTTTTGTAGAAGCAGAAATGGAAAGAGAGGACAGTCAATCCCACACAGGGCCAAAAGGAAGCTGGACATAGGGAGTGGATGCTGCCCCTGGTGCCGTGTGGCTTGGGGGAAGTCGCTTAACCTCTCAGAGGCGTGACGATGCTGGTAGTCTTGATATAACTTTCAGAAGCGGTTTTGAGTCTCGTGCGGCACCTGTCCCACACCAGAGGGTGGGGCGCTGTCGCCAAGTCTGGTCTTCTCGGAACCCCCTGTAAGTTTCCTGGTCTGAATACATGTTTGCCTAATGTTTACCAGAACAACAAAATACTTGCAAGTTCGTTCACCCTCCAAAAGAAATAGCATTTCCAGTACTGAGTCAAAAGTGCCGACGAGGTTTGAAAAAGCCCACGGTTGGCCGTCTACATCAGATAATCCGAACAGGCCTCTTCTGAAGTGGAAAGACCTGTTCTGTGCATGTTTCTCCCGGGCTGGGTGTCACTTGTCTGCAGGCAGCCCAGGGGCCCGGGAGGCGTCTGTCCTGCCTTTACAATCAGCGCAGGAAGCTTTTGAAGGGGCAGAGATGCCTCTGAGGGTTTATCTCTGAGGCCTGGTTGGGTCCCATCTGGTTGTTTTCAGAGCTGGCTGGAAAGAGATCTTTCCAGATACAGCACGCGGAGTCAGGGTGCACCCACGGCTCCCACTTTCTGATGAATTCCAGATGGTCAGGAGCACAGCTTTCCTCCCCGGGGAGATCGCTGAGAGAGAGGACTTCAGACTTCTCACGCCAGCCCCAACCTGCCACAGACCTGCACATCCCCTCCCCCGCACCGCTGCTGGGCGCCGAAGGGCGGGAGTCCACACTAGTCCGTGTGGGTACCGAGGGGCCGCGAGCAGGACAGCCCCTGCCGGAGGACCCAGGACTCTGAAGGGGAGGCGGGGTGGTGTGCATGCTGGGCTGGTCGGAGTGGGTCTCCAGGCCCTGCTCACTGGTCCCCAGACCCTTACCCCCCGCCCCCCGGGGGCCTGGCTCCCCTTCCCCGGGGGTCTTTTCTTCCTCCACCTGAGGACCGGCCATCTGCTTCTCAGCCTTCTTTCTCCGCAGAGTAGAAACGGGGGGCGAAAGTGGGCTGCCGGGTAAGGATGAAGGACCCCGCCAGAGCCCGCGGGAGGCTCCCCCATCACACCGCCCTCTGCAGGATGCAGAGGAGACCCAAGAAGACGAGGGATAAATGTGCCCAGTGGAGGCCCCCTGCTCACAGCGCTGAGCAGGCAAGTCATGCCATGCCTTCTACGCTATAAACACCATCTCTTTACTAGCCTCCGGGTACTGCCAACCTGGGTCCTCCTCGCATTCTCAAAGCAAAGCTAGTGGTCATTTTTTAAGCTTTTACAAGACATTACATGAGACAAAGCTCTGGTGATAGTTCTGGTACTCAAAGCTAGAGAAAAACTGGAGTGAATAATTCAATTTCTTTAGAAACTCAGGTTACCAGGAGATTTATTTTCTTGTAGTCCATCAGATATAGACGAACCTATGGCATAACCTTCAAATTGGGGATCCATGACATCATGGCAGATGAGGGCTTTGAAAAGTCTCTAAATCTCCGTCACGTGGACACAGGATGGTCCTTGACCACGACACCCCTCACGTCCCGTCACGTCCCGTTACCCATCCCCGCCCCCCCGGCGGCTCTGGGAGACGAAGGACAGTGTCCAGTAGCTCCTCCCTGGGGTCACTGCTCAGGTCTGATCACAGTCACAGAGAGCAGAGGGGGCTGGGCACCCCAGGATGGAGTTTAGAATGTGGGGGCCCCAGGACGGGGTCAGCGGGGCAAGCCGCTTGACCTTGGAGGCCCCATGCTGCCCTCGGAACCCTTGACCCAGGGGTCTGGGCCAGGCCAGGCGGGTCCCCAGGGCTACAGGCTGCCACGGCCCTGGGCCTCTGTCAGAAAGGGAGGGCCACTCTGGAACCGCGGGGCCTCATCTAGCGGAGGTGAGCCTGGACGCCGTGGGCAGAAAGCGCCCTGCAGGGATGACGCTGCCTTCTCCTGGACTGGGGGGATGGGGGAGCTGCCATGGGTAGAAAGGGGTCTGTAGGGATGACACTGCCTCCCCCTGGGCTGGGGGACACTGGAGCCACCGGCCGCATGGAGCCCCTCCTGGCCCCACACCCCCCAGTATCCCCGGAGAAGACTGTCTCTCAGTCTCAGCTTCCGCCGCTGTGAGATGGCCCAGGCAGTGCCCTATGGGGTGAGTCTGGGCGGGAAGGACAGGGCCCTGCCTGCCGACCCCCAGCCTCGTGTCCTCCTGCTCGGGGCCGGGGGGCTCAGCGGACCGGAGGCACCGCTGCTCCATCCTGCCCAGTGATGCCCCTGGGCAGCGGGTCTGTGATGCCCAGCAGGAGACGGGCCCACTCCCGACTGTGGCCACTCGGCCAACGGCATCCTCATCTCCTGGTTCCGTCTCTGCACCAATAGGCGAGGTTCTGGCGGCTGGCTGCCTGGGAGCCCAGCCCCGCAGCCCCAGCTCAGCGCACGTCCACAACAGGCCACGGGCCAGCCTGGGGGCTCAGGGCTTCCTCGCTGGGAGGAACTGAAGCAGCCTGACCACGCTGCGCAGAAAAGAAGGCTTCCTCACCCAGCCGGCCGCCTCCCTGCGCAGGCCTCCAGCCTGGACTGCAGACTGCCGCTCCGTCCCGCCTCGCCGCTCCTCTGCCACCGTGGCCGTGGCCGTCGGGGTCCCAGAGATGGACCCGGTCCTAAATGTCAGCCCTGGTGTGACCCAGCTGGGGCGGGTCTGGGGCTCAGTGGCTGGAAGCCCCCCAAGGAGGACGCTGTGACGTGTCCATCCTGAAGGCCTCGGCGTCCTGCCACCTGCTCGCGGAGGTGCGCGGAGATCAGGACTTCTGCGTTAAACAGCCGATCACACAGGGTTCGGGGTGCACAGTCTTACACGTTAAAGATTAAACCGTTCCCAGGAGGAAAACCATCCACAAGGGAGCCCGGGCCGGGGTGGCCGTCCTGCCCACCCCCACGAGGACTCCTGGGAGGAGGCGGCAGGAGCCCCCTCATTGGCCTGAGAGCTGCTTCCACCCCGTGAGGCACCAGCGACCAGAGCTGGGGGAGGGGGTGGACGTGGCCCCCGCTCCTGGACTGGGGCTCACAGGGGCACCCCGGGCCGGCACCCCGGGAGAGGGAGGGTCTCCGGGGCTCTGTGCTGGAAGGGGCCGGCCCCCACAAGTGCTGGCTCTGCCCGAGGGGGTTCCTGCCAGTGCTGAGGCCAGGGGGCTCGGCCAACACAGCCAGCAGCCTGGGAGGGGGCGTGTCCCGGGTCCCCAAAACTCTATCTTCTCCCTCTGGATTCGCAGAGACAGCTGGAGTGAAAGCAAAGTCCCGAGAGCACGTCCGTGCTGAAGGACACCCAGAGGAGGGGAAACGGGATCCCACGGCGCCTGCCCCCACCCAGCCAGGGCCGAGGCCTGGGGATGTGGCCGGCATAGAGGAGCAGCCTGTTCGGACCCCTGCCCGCAGTCCCCTCCCCCCACTCAGGGCATCAGAAAGAAAGCTCCTGTTGGTATTTTTCTGGAGCAGAAAAGCAACTTAAATGATGAAAATCGACCTGGACTGGGGCGCTAGGAGAAGCTGCAGTGGGACTTCCCTATTCCAGAAACCAGAGAGGGGACCCCAAGGCCCTCACAGGCCCCAGCGCCAGCCAGTCCACCCAGCCGACGGCAGCTCACACAAACCAAGGGGAGGAGGTTCGTGAGTTTGGGTGGAAATGGGAACAAATGCAGAAAATGTGCAAATCACATGCAGCCTGTTTATTAGTTACACTCAAGTCCCCAAAGAAAAAAGACACAATTGCAGCAATGTCTAAACTGCTATTTTATAAATAAGGGATTTAGCAGAAATAGCTTCCTTCTCTTAAGCCTTTGCTCAGATTTGCTGATGTGACAGAAAAGCCTAGAGTGGAGACTGATCGGATGCTGTTTAATGGGTCACAGCATTCACAGAATTTCAGCACAAAATTTCTCATCACCACGTTCCATTTGGCGTGTAATGCCACTTACATCTCATGCAGGGCTTTAAGATAAATTAGGATAAGTTAAGCTCCGTGTGTAGGGAGGGTTTCACACATCTCTCCTCTTAAAAAAATATGTCTAATAAGATATGAAATTTTGGTGCTAAAAAGAAACCAGAAGGCCCTGTGCCTCGCGCGTTCCCGGGCGGAGTCCTGGCTCCGCTCCAGCAGCTGAGCGGTAGCCTGCTCTGACAGAAGGAGCCTATTCCAACCTAAGTGCACGGTGCTTTGTGGTTTGATCTCTTATCAGCTGCCCCCGGGCGGAAGAGAGATGAACCAGCTGGTTTCTGTGGCTTTTGAGCTGAGACGACTGTGAAAATTCTCCGGAATGGCCAAGCAGGGCTGTCGACGGTAATTGGCTGAACTTGCAGGGGAGGGGCTCCCCAGCTTCTGAAAGGGAGCAGAGGACAGTTTCGGCGTTTAGAATAGTACCTTTGTAGGGCGACTCAGGCGTACAGATCCCATCCCCTGTTCCCGGCCCTGTCTCCGCATCAGGGACCGCCCCCCTCCCCTCAGCAGGGACCAGGTGCCTGGCCCACAGGAAGCCTCTCTCTCGGCTTCTCTTCTCGCTGGGGCTTCACCGTGGTTCGGTCTGCTTTCAGCCTAGAGGCGTTTACATTTTCCGAGGATGCTTGGGGAGGGGCGTGTTCGGGACAGAGTCAGAACGTCCCGACAGGAAGTCACACTCTAGCTCCATCACCGATCTGGGCTGTCGGACGCTTCTCTCTATGCAGCAGAAGCAAAGCGATGGCGCTGGTTGAACCGCCAGCTCTTCCACATTGGTGAGTCCCCGTGGTCTGCTCCCCTCTGCACACAGCCAAGCGCTGTGCCTTCTGGACCCGGGACTGGTCCCCATGGGGGACCCGGGGCGTCGACACCAGGGCCCGCTTTACTCGAGGCCGTCTTCCAGGCTCTTTGAGTCCATATGCTCTCTGGGCCGTGGGCGTGCGGCCCTCCAGCTTCCCAACAGGAAATGTCTATGTAACACATCAGGGCGTGGGAGAGAGGGGGCGAAGGGTGGGCTCGTCACACGGCAGAGGTCCCCGTCCCTGACGGAGCTTCAGGAGAACCGTAAGCACACGGCCCAGAGAGTCTGGGTGACTGAACTCAGGAGCGCTGAAGGATGTGCTTTCTAGTTAGAATTATCAAAAGTTCTCTGATGGCTGCGCTTGCAGTGCCGGGGGCCCGGCTTCCATCCCCGGTGAAAGGACTAGATCCCGAGGCTGCGCTTGCAGTGCCGGGGGCCCGGGTTCCATCCCCGGTGAAAGAACTAGATCCCGAGGCTGCGCTTGCAGTGCCGGGGGCCCGGGTTCCATCCCTGGTGAAAGAACTAGATCCCGAGGCTGCGCTTCCAGTGCCGGGGGCCCGGCTTCCATCCCCGGTGAAAGAACTAGATCCCGAGGCTGCGCTTGCAGTGCCGGGGGCCCGGGTTCCATCCCCGGTGAAAGAACTAGATCCCGAGGCTGCGCTTCCAGTGCCGGGGGCCCGGCTTCCATCCCCGGTGAAAGGACTAGATCCCGAGACTGCGCTTGCAGTGCCGGGGGCCCGGGTTCCATCCCCGGTGAAAGAACTAGATCCCGAGGCTGCGCTTCCAGTGCCGGGGGCCCGGGTTCCATCCCCGGTGAAAGAACTAGATCCCGAGGCTGCGCTTCCAGTGCCGGGGGCCCGGGTTCCATCCCCGGTGAAAGGACTAGATCCCGAGGCTGCGCTTGCAGTGCCGGGGGCCCGGGTTCCATCCCCGGTGAAAGGACTAGATCCCGAGGCTGCGCTTCCAGTGCCGGGGGCCCGGGTTCAATCCCCGGTGAAAGAACTAGATCCCGAGGCTGCGCTTGCAGTGCCGGGGGCCCGGGTTCCATCCCCGGTGAAAGAACTAGATCCCGAGGCTGCGCTTGCAGTGCCGGGGGCCCGGGTTCCATCCCCGGTGAAAGAACTAGATCCCGAGGCTGCGCTTGCAGTGCCGGGGGCCCGGGTTCAATCCCCGGTGAAAGGACTAGATCCCGAGGCTGCGCTTGCAGTGCCGGGGGCTCGGGTTCCATCCCCGGTGAAAGAACTAGATCCCGAGGCTGCGCTTGCAGTGCCGGGGGCCCGGCTTCCATCCCCGGTGAAAGGACTAGATCCCGAGGCTGCGCTTGCAGTGCCGGGGGCCCGGGTTCCATCCCCGGTGAAAGGACTAGATCCCGAGGCTGCGCTTGCAGTGCCGGGGGCCCGGGTTCCATCCCCGGTGAAAGAACTAGATCCCGAGGCTGCGCTTGCAGTGCCGGGGGCCCGGGTTCCATCCCCGGTGAAAGGACTAGATCCCGAGGCTGCGCTTCCAGTGCCGGGGGCCCGGGTTCCATCCCCGGTGAAAGAACTAGATCCCGAGGCTGCGCTTGCAGTGCCGGGGGCCCGGGTTCCATCCCCGGTGAAAGGACTAGATCCCGAGGCTGCGCTTGCAGTGCCGGGGGCCCGGCTTCCATCCCCGGTGAAAGGACTAGATCCCGAGGCTGCGCTTGCAGTGCCGGGGGCTCGGGTTCCATCCCCGGTGAAAGAACTAGATCCCGAGGCTGCGCTTGCAGTGCCGGGGGCCCGGGTTCCATCCCCGGTGAAAGAACTAGATCCCGAGGCTGCGCTTCCAGTGCCGGGGGCCCGGGTTCAATCCCCGGTGAAAGGACTAGATCCCGAGGCTGCGCTTGCAGTGCCGGGGGCTCGGGTTCCATCCCCGGTGAAAGAACTAGATCCCGAGGCTGCGCTTGCAGTGCCGGGGGCCCGGGTTCCATCCCCGGTGAAAGGACTAGATCCCGAGGCTGCGCTTGCAGTGCCGGGGGCCCGGGTTCCATCCCCGGTGAAAGGACTAGATCCCGAGGCTGCGCTTGCAGTGCCGGGGGCCCGGGTTCCATCCCCGGTGAAAGAACTAGATCCCGAGGCTGCGCTTGCAGTGCGGGGGGCCCAGGTTCCATCCCCAGTGAAAGGACTAGATCCCGAGGCTGCGCTTCCAGTGCCGGGGGCCCAGGTTCCTTCCCCGGTGAAAGGACTAGATCCCGAGGCTGCGCTTCCAGTGCCGGGGGCCCGGGTTCCATCCCCGGTGAAAGAACTAGATCCCGAGGCTGCGCTTGCAGTGCCGGGGGCCCGGGTTCCATCCCCGGTGAAAGAACTAGATCCCGAGGCTGCGCTTGCAGTGCCGGGGGCCCGGGTTCCATCCCCGGTGAAAGGACTAGATCCCGAGGCTGCGCTTGCAGTGCCGGGGGCCCGGGTTCCATCCCCGGTGAAAGGACTAGATCCCGAGGCTGCGCTTGCAGTGCCGGGGGCCCGGGTTCAATCCCCGGTGAAAGGACTAGATCCCGAGGCTGCGCTTGCAGTGCCGGGGGCCCGGGTTCCATCCCCGGTGAAAGGACTAGATCCCGAGGCTGCGCTTCCAGTGCCGGGGGCCCGGGTTCCATCCCCGGTGAAAGAACTAGATCCCGAGGCTGCGCTTCCAGTGCCGGGGGCCCGGGTTCAATCCCTGGTGAAAGGACTAGATCCCGAGGCTGCGCTTGCAGTGCCGGGGGCCCGGGTTCCATCCCCGGTGAAAGGAGTAGATCCCGAGGCTGCGCTTCCAGTGCCGGGGGCCCGGGTTCAATCCCCGGTGAAAGGACTAGATCCCGAGGCTGCGCTTCCAGTGCCGGGGGCCCGGGTTCAATCCCCGGTGAAAGAACTAGATCCCGAGGCTGCGCTTCCAGTGCCGGGGGCCCGGGTTCCATCCCCGGTGAAAGAACTAGATCCCGAGGCTGCGCTTCCAGTGCCGGGGGCCCGGGTTCAATCCCTGGTGAAAGAACTAGATCCCGAGGCTGTGCTTCCAGTGCCGGGGGCCCGGGTTCCATCCCCGGTGAAAGAACTAGATCCCGAGGCTGCGCTTCCAGTGCCGGGGGCCCGGGTTCAATCCCCGGTGAAAGAACTAGATCCCGAGGCTGCGCTTCCAGTGCCGGGGGCCTGGGTTCAATCCCTGGTGAAAGGACTAGATCCCGAGGCTGCGCTTCCAGTGCCAGGGGCCCAGGTTCAATCCCTGGTGAAAGGACTAGATCCCGCAGGGCAGCCAAATAAAGAAACATGTTTCTCAAAATAGATTAAACTCTTGTGTTCTCACTTTGGCAGCTTTAAAGAACCCTGCGTCTTTTCTTATCAAAGTGATTTTGGCTTCTCTATAGTAAAACTTAATATCCAACACTGGATAAATAGTCAAGGAAATATGTTCACCAACTTAACGAAATATTTGCAAATCTAAGGAACTCGAAGAAACGGACAGACACCTGGACAATAAAAGTGAGGCAGATGGCGGATTCACACTTAATGGTGACCACATCTGAGGAGAAGCCTTGGACAGGAACAGGGAGAGAGACAGTTGCTAAGGTGATGAGCATACGAGGGGAAAAGGGTTTTAAGGTTCATTTTGCTATTAAAAAAAAACCTGTGTTTCTAAATCATGCCACAGTTCTCAAAGTGCGACCCAGCGCATGCATGCTCTTGGTCCCAGGTCATGTGAGAAGGTTCAGACCTGCAGGTTCTGCCCCTAAAGGAGAGGGCGTGGCTCCTAAAGGGAGAAAGCAGAAGGGAGGACGCTGAGCGCCTGATGCTGAACAGAAACGAGTTTGGGGTGGGAGGCGCAAACTGACAGTCTATGTGTTGGGCTTTTGTTTTCACGACGGCGGGGGTTATTTTGGTTTTCAGCTACCATAATCCCTCAGGATAGCACCATGCCTCAAACAGACTCTAAGGACAGGCAGCCTTGCTCCCCAAACACCAAAGCGTATGATTCACGTCCAAGCTAGTGACTCGGGCCTCTTACAAAACCGACCACGTTTTGTGCTTTATTTCTCCTAAGAAGTCCCTCGGCGGAAAATAATAAGTTTGTGTGTGCAGATGCAGAGGAAACACCATGAAGGGCTATGAGGTGTTTGCTAGTGAGTCTCAGAAGGGGGCTTGGAAGACGGGCTTGCCCGATGCAGTGATCCCCAGCTGCTCTGACTGTGTGAGGACCCCAGAGACAGAGGGGCTTGGCGGCAGCACGCTGCTGGCCGGAGTCCTGGTTAATTTTTAAAACATCTGTGAGCACTTAGGGACTGCTGCAGAATGAATTAAACAGCCCTTTCAGCTTTAATCGTCCCCAAGGGAGAAAGCACTGTGCCCCTGGGAAGGGGTCACGGAGGGTCGAGAGGAATCAGGGGCAGGCTTTTCATGGCCCGGCCAGTGTTTGTGTTAAATAAATATTTTAAAAGTCGAGATCCACATGCCTCCATTTGGGGACCAATTAGTCTTTTTCATCTGCAGTTTGTTCAGCCGGACATTGTGCCTGGCCTGTACAAGGCCCCAGACAGTCGCTCAAGCCCCTTCTTAAATCTACCCTCAGCCCCTGGCCCAGTGCGGCAGGAATACAAAGCTTTCACCAGAGTGGGTTTCTTTGAAGAACACAGAGAAGGAAAATTTAAAAGGAAAGTCAGATTATTTTTAAGTTGAGATGTTTTGGAGCTCCAGAAAAGACTGGCAATTGTAGGATAGTTTATTTAAACTCAGCCTTTCCTTTTCATATTATAATAAGCTAACCTCATGTTTGAAACTGCTTTGTGTCTTGAGAGCTAGTAGTTTTTTCAAAAGGACTCAGCTTCTTCATTCTTTGGCCCCTCTCTCTCTTCCCAGAGGCACTCTGTGATTGAGCTGCCTCGTAAGTGAAGGATGATCATAAATGCTCCATCATGTCCAACTCTTTGCGGCCTCATGGACTGCAGCCCACCAGGCTCCTCTGTCCATGGGATTCTCCAGGCAAGCATACTGGAGTGGGTTGCCAGGTCCTCCTGCAGAGGATCTTCCCAAACCAGGGATCGAACCTGTATCTGTTGCATCTCCTGCCCTGGCATGTGGATTCTTCACCACTACATCACCTGAGAAGCCCTCAGCTACATCAGCTCGGCCCATTTGATCCTCCTCGGCTCCAAGAAGGGAAAAGGCCAAGCTTTCCTTTCAGCAGCCC